GAGACTGCCTGTTTTTGGTTTCTTTCTGTTTTTTGTGTGACTCCTGATAACTGTGAAATGCAGCGTGGGATGTAAGCGACTTTGCCCTTTTTAGGTATTTCTAAATGACAGAGAGAAAAAGAGAGCAGTTTGGAGAAGAACAAGCAATGAGTGATGATGTCATGGTTTAAGCTGTTTCTGCAGGGCTGGACAGAGGGATGGAGGGACAGAGGGATGGAGGGGAGGATGAAATCTTTATGAGAAGCAGCTGTTGGGGAGCGGTGGGCAGGCAGGCCTCCAGAGCACTAAAGCAGCAGCCAGCCAACAGCTCGCTGACAACAACTCAAAGGCCTGATAAAGCTAGCTACATAACACTGACAGCACCACCTGCATACAGTGTGATGAAGCTAATTCAACTCCAAGAGCAAAACATTGGCTGATTATCACCAAGAGTTAACACTAAGAGATAATATTTGGAGCTTAACAAGCACAAAAAGGTCAACAACTAAGATACAAACCCAAAAGGAATATCGCTGTCCGAGCTGATATTGTCAGCACGTACATTGCATTGCACTGCGAAGAGTATTAGAGTATAAGTCCTGATAACAGAGCTGTTGTGAGCCAACTCATTCAGTAACTGACACAGCTTGAGGAACAGCTCATCGTGGAAAATTTGGTGTGTGTGTGTCATCACATTGCCAATGAATGAGTCCAGGCTGATTCCGGCCTGTTGTGAATCCAACATTGTATTGGTTCAGTATGAGAAGAACCAGTTAGAGTCATCTATGAAAGGACTGCAAGGACTTTGCGTGCTAACACACTGTACGCAGTAGTGTACCATGTCTTTGTGAATCAGGGATTCATTTACAACTCTATGACCAGACCAAGGTCAAATAGCATGTAGTTTACACAGGGTTCTAGATGTATGGAGCTTGGAGTCAATGTTTTGATCTCAGATCTGTCTCTTTAACTTAATGTAACTTTTCAGTTTTTTTGTCATACCAGGGACATGGCTTTACTGATGGCATTTTCATTGGACTGGGCTGTTTGTTCATTTGTCCATACCTTTCATCAGTTGGCCCAACCCTGATTCAGAGTGAATGGTGGTGTCGAAGAAAAATCATTCAAATCCAGTTCAGGTTTGCTGTGGTGGTGTGAGTTTATTAAAGCATGCCGGCATCCTGGTGAACTTACATATAGATCTGAGTCGGTAAGCTGACCCAGAGCAAATTAAATGAGGTTCTTTTATACATAGACCAATGCACTAGATAGTATGTAAATGGAGCCGTTGATCAGGCAGTCACCAGACATTACATGATAAACATCAGAGTCAAAGAAAGTAAGGCAAAAGGTAGTGATCAGACTGAATGTTATAACCAATGGAGACAAAGGGCAGGAAAGGTAGGTGTGGGGTTTTGGTCAAGGGGGAAGGAGACAGCAAGAATGCACATTTAGTATATGAAGATCAAGGGACCAAGGGGGTAGGCTGCCACATGTCATTTGGTTAGCAATCAGTGGGATTGTCAAGAATTTTAGCAAAAACATTCATGGTCCCTTAAAGTTTGAATCCTAATGCATTGGTAATTTGCAGACTCCTCATCTTTTGCCACTAGCAGGTCAAAATTTTCAGTTCCAACACTTCAGTTCACTATGACAGGACACTTCTGAGATTCATTGAATTAGTTAATAAATTCCTGAAGAATACCTTCCAGGAGATACTGTGTGAAAATGTGCACCATTAACCGCATATTCAAACTATTATTGTGTCTCGCCCCTCTCTTTGTCCTTCGTTTTCAGCCCCAGCCCTAGGATTATACAGTACAGCGTGGGCTAGAGGTTGATTCCTGCTCTCCACTGTCCACTTTACTGTACATTTGTAGAATAGGTGGTGCTCGTAGATAACCGAGATCCTATTTACTACAGCAACACAAAACCATGCTTCAGCCACTAAGTCTAAACAAACAACATCCCTCTCTCAGTAGTATATGTGAGTGCATGTTTATAAGAATCTGTCCATAGCCAGATACCCGGTGTCCATCCGCTGATACATATCTCCTGCAGGGTTGGTTATGCAACTGATGCTTGGCTCTGATGCCCTGCCACTGACCCGACCGCTGCTATCTCTTTCTAGTAAAGGCTTTAAGGCATTTAGGATCGTGTGCTGTTCACCGACCACCAAACATTTTCATCTGAGGCTGGAGGTTATCCTTTATTAAATATATTTGTGTAGTGTTTTTTATCAGAAAAATTTTAGGTACAGTCAATAGGTCCAGGTCAATAGTTATTTCCATTACAACACATTTTCCACTGCCATCTTCTCCACCCAGCACTCATCCACCCAGCTGCCGATGAACAATACCACTTCCACTTCCTCTGCTGCAGTCTCCGCGGCCTGTCACACCTCACAGGGCTAAGGCTGAAGGGGGCCGGGGAGGTGGAGGTCTTTTGGGTCGCTGTTTCACGTGATGTTTTTATTGGCCTCAGCAGATGGCTTCCCTCAGCCTCTGCATTGTTATGGTGGCCATCTTGCTCTGAGGGTCAGGGTTAACAATAGTTACTAGTAGCTGTGGGAGACAAAAGCCTTTTTGTGGCTCCCGAAAAGAGTTTCCTCAGTAACCATGCGCTGTAAACCTGGCAGTGCTGTCAAATTTACTGCTTTTACGAGATGCGAAGACGCTGCGGCTTGTCAGGTTCAGGCGAGTGCTGGGAAGCACTTTCTTGCATGTATGACTCAAGTTTGAGATATGTTCGGGCCCAGTAAGTCCAAATTGTGAGAAAATACCAAATTACCATTTAAGGCACTAGAATCTCAACTGAACAGCACTTTCTGTTTTGGCCTTGAGGCTCCAAATAATAAAGTGGGACAGCCTAAAAGCCTACACTGTTTTCATAGCGCAACAGTATACTTGTATTATTCTTTGCAATATCCACTTTCCTCTTTAGTTTTGACAACCCTGTCTCCCCAACCCCCCTCTCCTCTCCGATTTGCTCCCTCTCTTCATATCTCCCATCTTTCCTCTCCCCCTGTGATATGCAACACCCTTCCCAACACAGAAAAACATCTAACTGTAAAACTAGGAGGCTCTATACATTCTTTATAATCCCCCTTGCCCGCCCCCTTTCCATGCAGGATTTCTGGTCTTAATTTCGGTGCTCGGTTTTAGTAAGGAGAAAAGAATCAGGAGGGGGAGGAAGGCCAAAAATTGGTTGATGTTTCCCCACAAACATGTGACCTCTGCTCGGCTCACAGCTGAAAATAATTTGGGCCTACAAGCCGGTGGCTGGCTGACGCAAACCCTCCTCCTCCTCGCTCCGGGGGGCTAGGTCTTGGACTGATGGGGGGCTAAAGACAAAGCAATGGAGGGCTGTGAGTTGAGCTGTGAACAAAACTAGAAGCTAAAAGATGACATATTATTTTACACCTCGTCAGACGAGACCGGAAATTTTGCGCAGTGTCCATTTCTTCTTTCATTGTGGAAGAGAAAAAAGTAGAAGCCCAGAATAATTCCAAAACACTGGACCCAGAGGGACAATTAGGTTGTTAGCTTAGGGAAGGGTTCAGCTATTCGGCTGCAATTTTTTTACGTAATCTACCAAAATTGACGTTTTTTTTTCTGACTTCCCTCGCTGCCAGTTGGGAGAACAATTTGTGGAATTCGGCTCAATTAGGCTCACATAGTCAGGGAGCAAGGGAGAGAAGTGTCAGGGTTAGATAATTCACGTTTATTGGGAGAAGATTGGAGGGGGGGTTTGGGCCAGGCAGTGCTCAGGAAATGTTTAACGGCCTACGGATACCCTAAAGTATCCCTGCACATCTGGTTGAAGTCACATGCTCACACATCCACGGTCTGGAGTATGGGCAGCTTGGCAGGATGTGTAGATCTATGTAGGTGTGTTTTTATATGAGGTTTTGTGTGTGAGTATGCAGCTGGGTGGCAAAGCATATATTAGTGTCTCTGAGAATTTACTCAGAGTGAGAAAATGTGTGAATACCTGCCAACAGGAGTTAACCCTGAATTTTCCTCCTCTCTTATGTTAACCACATCTGTGCCAGACAGAGGCTAGGCCCTTCTGCTCTATGCCAGTCCCCTACCATCTTTTATAGGCCAAGTGATGAGCGCTGAGCAACAGCGGCTCTAATTCAATGTTACACACGAACGGTCTTGCTAGGTTCCAACGGGATCTGGTTTCATTATACTCTGACAAATGGACCAAGTAATATTTTCAAACTAGCCAAGCATGTCTCCTTGGCACTATTTGTATAATGAAGAACAGAGGGAAATGTGTAGAGGAGAGGATCTGAAGTGCAAAAACAAAATGTGTTTTCTGTACTTGTCTTGAAAATATTCCAGAAATCTGTTTTGGCAAGTGCAAAAAGATGAGATACTGAATGATAACCTAAAAAAGTCGAACTGATTGCCCATCACTGGCTTTAAGCTGCCACTGATATTTTCCTAATGTAGCTTAATTATATTACAATGTGGACTTCTTAGCATATTCCATAAGTTTCCCATGGCATTATGGAAGCTGGAACCCAATGTGTGCCAGTGGCTAGCCATAAACACAGAGCTTTGTTTTCAGCTATATCCTCCATTTACAAATCATGCGGGTACTGCCAGTTTTGGGGGGATGCCATGCAACCTGTGAGGTCTGTTTCTTGGCAGCTTGGTTCAGAAGTGAGTTTCCCTACCCACAATGAGAGGTTTGAGCTATTTAGTAGTTTATATTCACATACTAGAGTTCCCTAAGGGAGTTCTGGAGAAGCAGATTTATTTTGACCTAACTATAATTTGTCAGTCTATATGTCTGCCTATTTTTGTGTATCATCTTAGGTTTGACATATCCTAAATGTATGCTCTGTAACTGAATTGAATTGTAAATGTTTTGCTTTGCAACTCCATGACCTATAAGCTGAAATATAGGTCTGCTTTGCATTCACATGTGTTTCAACAAACTTTAACCATCCACACAATGTACACACCCCATTATAAAATACATTCTCTCTTTGTGTGACTGTGCAGGATGCCAGCTGCTAGCACCATGACCGGTGGGAGGGCCCTGCTGCTCTGTACAAACACTGACAATTGTATCTACCAATCAGTCAACGGGTAGGTGTCTCAAAATTAGTATATAATATAGTTAATAAGTAATTAATTATTAATCTTAATTTTTTCTGATTCAGGTTTTTCCTATTAATCAGTCCTATTCCTTTTGTATGTATACATAGACCAGATGCTTAACTTGCTGTTTGAGTATTTGAGAACCTTGGATGGAATTACCAGTACAAATAATCAACAACTGCATTAAATGATCTGGTTCATTGAGAGGAAGTAGAACATGTAAATGGAGGAGAGAAGTAAACTGTGACTTCCAAATTGCATTGCAGTAAGAAACAACTGACCAAAGTTTTCACATCTAGGTTTAGTTTTAGTCAACTACAGTATGATAACCTTGGCCTGTACAGCTATTTCACTTCACTCTGCCATCTTACACCTCTACACATTCTCCATGAGATGTCGCTTGGGCCTAAACTGTACTCTTCCCCTAATCATCATACAGTCCTGTACTGCTCTTAAGCAAGCTTGAGACACTCTTTTTCATTAGGGTCAGCTGTATAACAAAAGCAGGGCTAGAGATGCAGAGTAGGGCAGAGCTGGCCATCTGGCCTCTGGATACTGTTACTACCCCCCTGCTGCCACTGTCTAATGCCACTCTATGGCCACTCCCTTGCAATATTCATTAATGCTATTTAGATTATAATGAAGGGATTTCGGTTTGTGCCAGTGTTTGTGCCTATTGTCTAGAGGGAAATTTAAATGTTTTGAGGGTCTGCCATGTTACTGTAGTTACCATTGCTAAAAAGCTCAATACTTTAAAAAAGTTGATATCATGAAAATAAGTTAGTTGAGTCTCTCTCTTAATTCTTCTCCCATTCTTCCCATTTCAAACCATTTCTCTGATCTGCTGTGTTAGCTCAGCTGGTCAGCGATGCTTTTGTGTCCTCATTCTGCTCTCATTGACCCTCCTGTCTGTGCTCCACCTATCCTTGGCTGCGGTTGATAGATGAGCTTTCCATACTACATACTATTAAATCTCTGTTTCTCTTTTAATTACAAAAGTGTTTTTTTAGATGGAGGAATTACAGCGTTAATGTCCTTCTCCATCTACTCTACTTTTTCTGTAACTCCTTCGCTCGACCCCCCCTGCCTACTCCTGTTCTCCTTCACTACTACTCCTTTTCTATTTGACCTAGTTTTTTCCCTCTGTTGCATCATGCTTAATAAAAACTGCTGTTTCAGGCGGGGGATATAAAAGGAGAAAGAAAGGGGGAAGGGAGAGGAGAGGGGCCAAACTAATAAAACCTGGAGCAATTTCGAAGATAATTATTTGGTTTCCTTGTTGGTCATAGTTACAACATCAAGTTTTTTCCTTCTCTTTAGAGATCTCTGAGGAAACTTGAATCAGTAATTTCCCCCAGAGATTTCCTCTGAATTGCAGACTGTTGGTTTTCACATCCAGCAATGTCATCAGAAGTCACCCAGCAAGGCCACGTTTCCTCTGTTTGTTGGAAATTCAATCATTTGATGAATGGTCTTTGGGCCAAAACAGAGTTTTGAGGGTCGGGAATAGAAAAGAAAAGATGCACGTCTACCCTTCGGCCTCTCCCCTCTTCTGTGTATACTTTCATCTCCTCTCCACAAATAGCTGTGTGTGTATCTTGTAAACTTTGACCCCCAAACCCAGAGTTCAAACAGTCATGACCCAGTAATCTTCCAGGAGTGACTCACAGCTGAAACAGAGGCACCAAACAGACGTCTGAGTTATTTTAACAAGAATTCTTGTTTACCCCATTAAACAAAGATCTATTTGGACGTAATTGTAAGTGCTCACGTTGCATTGCAAATTTTGAGAGCTACGGGGAGCACAATGCTTCGTTATATACACTAAAGGCAGGAGCTGACATTTCTCTGAAAATAATTGCCCTATAAATTATTAGAGTTGACAACAGTGCAATATACTCTTTCCCTCTGTTTGTCTGGTTTGAATTAAGTACACATCAGTTGCACTGTCCCCTTACCAAGAGAATACTCTTTGCATGTTTTTTCTGTTTGTTTGAGTTTACTTTTGTTCCCTTACCCACAGTCCATATATTGTGATTGACAGGTGACCTTCCTGCCTATTCATCTTGAAGTATGCCTCAGCAACTTCAAGATTAATTCAATTTATTTGGCCTGGATTTATAAGATAGTAGTGTAAGGCAAACTATTTTAGTTCTTATATTGTAGTCCTGGTTTGACAAATTAACTTGTTGAGCTATATTAAACTAATCTAGTTTCAAGCACATATATCTTGAGTTTCATTATTTATATCAATTCTTTTTTTAATAGTTTTCAGTAAGCTTTTTAAGCGGGGGCCTGATTTGTATACTACTTTCAAGAAATGTGACTGTATGAAGTCATTTTTGCTTCCCTCCAGTTTTTAATTAAATGCTTATTATTGTGTGTGAGAGCAATGTATGTTTAAGTTTTAAATCTAATATATTGTGTTTTGACACATATGGATACAGTACCATGTGTTTGCTTGCGTTTCCCTATGTTTGCCTCAGTATAGAATTTAAGTAACTTCTTGTATGCTTTTTAATTCATTCATTTACTAGCATATAATATTGGTAGAATATACAGGACGTTTTGCTTGCAAGTATGTGAAGTGTTTTTCTATGTGTGGTTCTTTTCCAGGCTCCAGTGCTGTGGCTTGAAGGTCGGGGAGGCTCCATCGTCGGTGGTGCCCCAGCGCAGAGAGGTGTGCGGGTCACCAGGGGACAGAGACAGGAGGGATACTGCTGTTTCCACCAAGAGACCCCTCTCCCCCCTACTCAGCTTGAGCGACAGCCCAGGTCCTCCACACACCATGCTGGCTCACAGGAGAGCCTCCACCACCACTGACCCGCGGACTCCCAACATGGAGAACGGGCTGTGTGGCAAGCTGAACCACAACAAGAGCCCAGCAGGAGGCAAGACTGCCAGCATCCGCGATAAGATCTCACAGTGGGAGGGCAAAAAGGAGCCTGTCCCACCAACTTCTACAGGAACATGTCCACTGAGCACGACGCAGAAGGAAGTTGAGACAGTGAAGAAAAAGGAATCCAAATCTTCAGAAGTCCAAAGGACAGATAGCAAGAGGTTTGTCAGCTGGGACAGACAAGACTCAGGGAAGGAGAATGCTGGAAAGCTGGGGGATTCGAGGCCTAAATCTCCAGAAGGCCCAACAAACAAGGACAGAGAAGTGATCCTAGAGAAGGGATTTCGGGTTTCCAAGCCAACAGAACAACCCCAAGACAAGAAAAGTGTTTTAACTCATGTTAAGAAACTGGAGAAGGCAACAAAGGAAGTTCCTGACAGACCTTCACTGGCATTTCCAGGGAATTATTTCTGCCCTCCTTCAAAGGAGGAACTGGAGGAAACAGAAAAGAGAGCCAATGAGCCCATTTTTGGGACTTTTGACGTGGTGCGTCCTAGTGGGTCACGGAGGAGGAGGGAGGGGGATCCAGAGAATGTATACAGTGAGCCAGGTGCTCCGTCTATAAACCCTCTACCAAAACCTCAGAGAACCTTCCAGCACCATACACCCCCCACTACCCCAGCTTCGGGGCCTGGCTCGGGGAAGGGAAGGAGGAACTTGCCCCCTTTGCCCTCCATTCCTCCTCCACCTTTACCCACATGCCCACCACCTGGAGTTTGCAGGAGACCCTGGGCTGACAAACCCCGGGACAGCAGTAACAGGTAAGAAAATAAAAGAAAATAAAAGAAAATATGGGCAGCCTTGATTAGTTCTGATGAGTTCTTTGTTATCATGCTAACATGTGCTAATTAACACAAGACACAAAGTACAGTTTTTTGTTTTTGTTTTATTGTTGAGTGAAACATGAGTGTTTCATCATCCAATAGTTGCTAGACATTTCACTCAAAACCACAAAAGTCAACCTCATTGCAGCGAAAGACAAAAAGTCAGGGGATCATCAAAGTCAGTTGGGTTAGTGCTCTGGAGACCATGCATTTCTGTACCAAATGTCATAACAATCCATACAACATTTGTTGAGATATTTTAGTCTGGAACAAAGTGGACAGACCAACCAACCAACCAACAGAGCAATATTGCTATCCGCTAGCACATCATCACCAAGCCATCTCATCTTGTCTTAACCCCAATATATTGTTCCTTCAGAATATATTGTGTCCTCTAAGCCTTTCCCGAACCAAACACTGAGGTGAACAACATCTCCCACATCTGCTGTAAATCAAAACCAACAGTGACATCATCCTGTTTCTAAATATCCCAAAGAATGAGCTCACTGGTTGGATCTGAGGAATGTACACATCAACTCAACTCATTCCTCCTTCCAAAACTTTACTGGAAGGGGAGAACAACATACAGAGTGGTGTGAGTCATGTGAAAGAGGCCACTTTCCTTTTAGCCTCGACAGTAAAAATGATTGTGCAAGACCTTCAGTTATCACAAATGAGCTGTCAGGCATTCATTTAGCACAGTTAGACTTTCTAAATGTAAAAATGTGTCTACTTGCAAAGTGTGTAGTCTGATCCAGAAACATATTCTGCCAAGAGCAATTAACATATTCAAGAGTTTTCTAAGTAGTACTCGCATTCAGATGGTTACAATCAAATAAACAAAGCGCTGCAAGGAAACCAAAAAATTTGAACTCTGCAGTATTGGAGTACATCTATTGTTCACTTTCTCCAGTGGTCTGAATTCTTGTTTGGAGCTTGGCTTGGATCTGTTACATTCCATACCATATGTGGAGGCCTCCCTCTGCTCATGGGTGCTGTGTCGAGCCCTTTGTTTGGCCAGGCTTTCTCTCTGTGAGTGTCCATAGCACTGTGCTTTTTTGTGTGCGTGAACAAATACGCTGAGTTGTCAGTTTATTAGGTGCATGTAGCTTCATCCAATACAAAGCAACTGCTCTGCAATAAATCCTACTTTTGTAAAGCTTACAATGTTCAGTTTTTGTTAAAACTCTGTCAGAAAGGGGATTCAGCTTCATGGTCTTTTACAATGCTTAACTTGACTTATATATATCAGGGACAATGCACAATAGTTGGCATCATTATGATGTACAAGTGCGAAATGGTTAGTTTTCATTATGTGTCAGGAAGGTAAGATTTGCAGGGAGCTTGCACTGTATTGCAATGGATGTAGCAAGCTCTACCTAATAATGTGCCTACTTTTAATTGTATGTATATGCATGTATGTGGGGACACATGCAACCATGTATGCTTGTGTGCACGTCATTCTACTGGGCTTTAATCTTTGGTAGTGATGAAACACATCATTCAGATGTGGCAACTAAGAAATGGTAACACCAGTTCACCTGCTTGGCATGTCAAACATTTTTTAAAAGCATGAACATGAGCACACATTCGCTCAGAGTCATCAGTAGCTCAAATCCTTCCTTCCTCCTTTTTTTTTGTATTTGGCGTGCAACTCTTCTAAATCTTTGTCATGGCCTGTCTTCCAGGAAGTCATACGAATTCGAGGATCTACTCCAGTCGTCTTCAGAAAGCTGCAGGGTGGACTGGTATGCTCAGTCCAGACTGGGCCTAACACGCACTTTATCAGAAGAGAATGTCTATGAGGACATAATAGGTAAACAATACAACTCACACTTTTATTTTTCAAAAATCAAGTTTCTGACATGTGGTTTCAAAGTTACATTATCAGATCTGGAGGCTATAAACTGATTTGGATTTGCAAAAACTGTAGAACACTATTAAATACTGTTCTGTAGGTTGTCCTGTGTTTTATACCCTTCATACACGGCATGACCTTTGAGTTTCATTTCTCATATCAGTGTGGGTCTGAGAGTTCGGTAATGGAGGTGATGAGGAGGCCAGGCTGTCTTTGCTCTGTTTTTTCTGCTCCAGTTTTAATTTAGAGCCACGCTGCTTCACTTTTATTAAAAAATCATACTTGGACACATGACCTACGTTCCTACCTTATTGTCTGCAGTCTTATGCCAACCCCACCTAGAGCCCGTTTAATTTCATAACGAACAATAGTAGCATTGTGTGAGGTCGTGCTGTAGCTGAGGTTGGCTACTGTTATTGTCAGTACAGCAGTGGGCATATGAATAGCTTAGAGCCGTGGCACATTACTGGCAATCGCTTCAATGTGTCTTTGGTTTTCCTCCCAGCGAATGGTATAATGAGTGCTGCTTGCTTGCAACAATCAAATTAAGTTTAATTATATTTGAGTGATGCCACAGCTTATTTTGGATTCTTTTATAGTTTCCTCCTTTCATACAGCAGTACTGTTCTTTAAAGCGCTCTGACATTGTTCACCAAACACTCAGCAGTGTCCCATGGGTAAAGTAACTCAGACTCACTATAGCTGTTGACTCAAAAAGGAGCAGAGATAAAGATAGTGTAGACAGTGATGAACGGCTGTGGTGTCCTCGTAGTCTTGTCATCCACACGCAAACCAGATTCACATCAACACACTTTGAACACACAATCTACATGCCTGATAGTGTTTTCAGACTGAGAGTAGAGCAACTGTCACCACTACATGTACTCAGACACTCGCCTTGACGACTGATGCAAATTCACATGTGCACAGCTGACAGCACACACAAACACACTGCAGAGATTAGTGTGACATTCTCATCAGCCCGCAATGTGAAAAACAGTACGCTGATCCCTTGTTTTCCTCAGAGGGAGAACGAGTGGGGAACTGAACGCCCTTCTTTATCCTCCAACTCCTACAGGTCACATCTGGTGGATAGATTGATAGAGTTGGGGAGAGATACAGAGAGGCAGAGACAAAGAGAGAAAGAGGCACAGGTTTTGGAAAATGAAACTTCCTCATTCCTTATCTGCAGGGGAGGACCAGTGGCTAGAGCTACATTTAGCATTAGCTGTGCAAGCATCTTATCACAGTGAAATATGAGCTGGGTACGCACACTGCTGCCTCTGGTAGCTCTCTGCACATCTGGAGCAGGAATCGTCTGGCACAACAAACATGACTGATATGGAAAGAGTACTTTATCTGCTCTTTGGAAAGCTTGTGTGAGACTGTTTTGTAATCCAGGTGAATATGATTTCTTAGTTTTGAAAAGAAAATGTTTTTTTTCTCCTGAAGATCCTCCATCGAAGGAGAATCCCTATGAAGATATAGAGCTGGAGAGAAGTTGTTTGGGTAGCAAATGTGTTTCACCTGCTTCCTCATCTCCTGTCCCTGACACACCAACTAAGGTACCGGATCAGAAATACGTCACTATAAAAACAAAAGTAGATTTAATGGAAGAAGTTCTATACTAAAATCACATTTTGATGTATCTGTTTTGCTCCACCTGACCCCCCCCCTTCCCCAGCTCTCCTCCAAGCCTGGCTTCTTCAGACAAAATTCAGAGCGGCGAAGCTTCAAGCTCCTGGAACTACGCAAGACCAGCAGGGACACTGGTATCTCCTCTCCTTCCCGTATCAGCCCCCCCTCCACGCCCAGCAGCCCTGATGACACCCCCTGCCTCTCTGGAGATCCGTACAATCGCAGACGGAGGAAAATCCCCAAGGTATGGGAGTCTGAGAGGCCTCTCACAAAGACAGAGTCTCAGAGCCGGTCCAGGACAGGGGAACATTTTCTGACGAATATTTCCTGTGAGAAGTGCGCCTAAAGGAAGGCCTCCCAGAAGCTGTATTGAAAAGATCTTCTTAGGAGTCTGGGAGATTTAGTTTATTGGTTTAAGGAGTTTAAGATGGACATCTCTTTCTCTTTACCTGCTGCAGATGGTGCTGAAAATCAATGCCATCTTCGAGGCGCGGAGAGGGAAGAAACGCATGAAGAGGGTGTCTCAGTCTACAGAGTCCAGCTCAGGGAGAGGTAAAGCTTCAAATATAAAAGCAAAAAAAGTCCACAAAAACAGACTGTTGTTTGTCTTTACCTTTCATTTGCTTCACATCAACTGTGAATTAAAAAATCATGAACGCCTCTGCAATACTCCCATCAAAGAGGTTGTGGTTTTGTTTGTTTGTTTGTCTGTTTGTTAGCAGGATGCTGCAAATGCTTGTTAACTGATTTCAATAAAAGTTGGTGGAAAGTTCGGCTATGTGCCAAGGAACAAGTGATTAGTTTCTTGTGCGAAAACACATCCAGGTACAGATCCCACTTTGGATCCAGTAATTCTTTAATAATAATGCTTTTCTAACATTGCAAGGCCATTTCCACGATGTCCATCATCACTGAATTCAAAGTTTATCATGAATACTATCAACACTCCACCCACCTTTCATCAGGTTACATTTCCTACAACTCTCAGTTTGACCAGAAAGAGTACTAACTACAAAGTCAATCTCCATAAAAGTCCAGATTTATTACTTAGTTTTATGGGCAAAGTTACATTCTGGGGTCAGTTGAGAATGACCCACGTTTCAGAGGACTGGGTGGTGTGGTAGTGGCTGGAACAAAAGCAATGAGGGCAAATTCCATGTGCTCTGAGTTTCCTGTGATTGTCATTTGCAGTCTCCTCATGCTCTGTTTTTCTTTTTCACTGCTTCTTCTGTTTAATTTAGTGACAGATGAGAACAGCGAGTCGGAAAGTGACACGGAGGAGAAACTAAAAGGTGAGAACAGAAAATAAATACTTATACTGTACGTACAGTAGCTCCGTAGCTCCATGCTGTAGGGGATGCCAAATACAAATATATAAGCACAATAGGAGTATGTGTACAAAAACGGATTCAGATCATAGTTTTCTTCCTTTTCATTGTTCCAGTGTATAGCTAACATCAGAAACACACAAAGTTGAAACTGCAGACTCCTTTACATAGTGACCTCACAGTGACTCTCTTTGCACGCATATGTGCACATACACAATATGGATGTATTTGAATTAAATGTGTTTCTCTGTCACTCAGCTCACAGTCAGCGGCTGGTGTCGGTTCAGTCTATGCTGAGGCAGACGGGGCGGTACCGGACCTTGGAGAGGGATCTGATGGAGTTGCAGGAGAGGAAACTCTTTGAGTATTTCATAGTTGTTGCGCTCCACAAGACAAAGGCTGGAGTCCCATACCTGCCAGAAGTCACACAGCAGTTTCCTCTCAAGGTGAAAGGGGATAGAAATGTTACTAAAGCACTTTATTCAAAAATAAGACACTGGACACTTTTTACTAAAAAAAGAAAACACTGCTGAAAAGGATTTTAAATATCATTATCCAAATAGCTAATTTTAGAATTATGGGAAGAGCAACAGCAGGTGTTATGCAATAAAAAGAATAGCCTAGTAATTTTTGAGCAGTGATATAATACATTATACTTTAATACTGACAAAAGAAAACAAAGTAAGAAATAAGAAAAACAAAAGATCCAGCAAAAAGACAACGATTACATTTATTGTACAGTGATGTAGTGCTGTATGTACAAAACGTACTATTTACTTAGAATAGTGACTGCAGTTTTATAATGATGAAGAGTTTAACACAGATCTAAAATTCTGTTTAGGTTATGGCAATAGAAGAAGATTTTGTGTGTTTTAAGTGGTTTGTTTTGTGGTTCATCAGTTATTTCTCACAGTGTACAGACGTCTCAGTACCACATCTTCCGTTGTGTCAAATATATTTGTTTTAACATTTGCTCTATTTTTTCCTCCAGCTTGAAAGGAGCTTCAAGTTCATGCGGGAGGCTGAGGACCAGCTGAAAGTCATCCCTCAGTTCTGTTTCCCTGACGCCAAGGACTGGGCGCCTGTCGACAACTTCCCCAGGTCAGTCCGACTGCTGCCGCTGCACTTAAGGCATGAAAAAAAAGTGAAACAAAACAGGGACACTGGAATTTCCCGTCAGAGTGGTAATAGCTCAGCTGTTTTCCTTGTTAATAACCACTTGTTAGAGAAGAAGCTGAAATCCCGAAATAGAAATGACCTTGTGGCTTGTAACGATAAGGCACTGACAGATATAAATGATTACAGGGACAGATGGTAGATTTAGCACCTTACACCTGGTTTGTTATTACAAAATCACCCCTCTTTCTTTGCTGTTAAATATATTTAACAGCAGCTATTACCCAATACCTCCTAGCTTAGCCTCTCAACGTCTGCATTGTTCCGAGAAATGATGATGTGTGTCCTGGTGGTGATGGCTAATAATTACCTGGAGACAAATGTTTGATGGGTGAGGGGCCATCAAACACACACCTGCATTGAACTGGCTGACACTCATGACTGTCAAGAAGGTCCTCGCCAGTCAATGAATACCTGTCGGGTGGAGCTTAGGAGGTTTTGTGTGGATATTTGCAGAGTAAGCATCCCTCAAGTACAAAGTCATACCTTTGTTTACCAAAACACAAAGTCAAGTCCAGAATGTGGTTATCTGTTTCCACAGCAGTATTTTCCAGCATGTCTGAATTATCTTTCTCTCTTTTTTATCCCCAGTGAGACGTTCTCATTTGTCCTGACTGGTGAGGATGGAAGCAGGCGGTTTGGCTACTGTCGGCGATTACTGGTATGCTCTTAAAAAATGGCGCTGCCCCTTTCTCCTTATTTGATTTTAACATAAATAATCCCTCATTATAAACTTGCTTATGTAATTTCCTCTGCTCCTTTAACCATTTTTCCATAATTATTTTCTACAAATATCCTAAATTTGGTTGATAAAATTATAACATTTTTTTTTCCTGACTGTACCTTCAAAGTCTGTGCAAAACAAAGGCTTTGCTCTGCTCCGCTGGTCTAATCCTGTGGTTGTATAGTTGGCTGAGCAGTCTTGTGACACTCCAGTGTTTTGAAGCTGTCTTTTTCTTGCTTGTTGTTCACAGCCCAGTGGTAAAGGCAGAAGGCTCCCTGAGGTCTACTGCATCGTCAGCCGCCTGGGCTGTTTCGACCTCTTCTCCAAGGTAGATATGGTGAACTAAATATAAACGCAAATGCACAAAGTTTACATAATGTTGCATCAAATTTAATTAGTTTGCACAGATTGGCTTGTGTTGCACAAACACATACATACGCCCCCCCCCCCCCCCCCCGCCAGTCTGGTCCTGGCTGACAAAGACACATGAACTGCAGCTGATGTGGTTACTGCAGTGGAAACGGTTCCCTGTACTGAGCCTTAGATTTATATGCATGACCTGTGTACGTAAATATGTGTGCAGTCTACATGTGCCACTGCTATATTTGGGTTTGTGAGGGCACAGACATGGACATATATATATGCTGTTATACTGTATGTGTCCGGTATGTTTCATCTGTATAGTTTCACAGCCACCGTAGTTCCTCCTACACACTCAGAGTGGGAGGGTGAGGCGAGGGGGTTGTAAGATCCAGTGTGTAACATTTAGGAGGATAATGGAATATTTATTGGTATTTTTTCATTAGTCTAACTAGAAACTATGAATCATTATATTTTTGTTACTGAGTTACTGATTATGCTTTGTTAGAATGAGCGCGCAGTTCGAGGCCACCGTAGTTTCTCCCTCGTGCTTGGAAAGGGAGGGTGAAGGATGTGAGTTGCAATCTGCAATTACACTGCTAGTTGCCACTAAATCCTATATGCTGGCCTTTTACAGTACTTCATCACGTTCATGTTATAATAATGTAAACATCCAGTTACAGCTCTTTGATTTGCAACACAGCCTACAATAGCCTAATACACAAGGGACAGCTACTATGGTATAAATGACAGAAGAATATCTGACGATTAATGAATTAAATCATATCCAGTACATATGATCATAGGGCCCAACCCTAAGACATAAATATTTAAATTACACAAAAACTCTAATCTATTGAAAAGAATTTGTCAGGGCTGTTAGAAAGATCTAACACTCCACCTGTACCTAACATATCTACAGTTTACTTATATAAATATCTGTGATTGCCGGTATTCAGAATCTCCTTCTCTGTGTTTTCCAGATCCTGGATGAAGTAGAAAAGAGGAGGGCCATCTCCCCTGCTCTGGTGCAGCCTTTTATGAGAGGTATAATGGAAGCTCCCTTTCCTGCTCCAGGAAGAACCATCACTGTCAAAAACTTCCTCCCTGGCTCTGGGACAGAGGTGAGATGATGGCGGTGTTGTCACTGTGAAAACAGCATTTGAACCAGTAGTTTTTCACCCCATTCTTTTAGTGTCTTTTACGTGTATCTGTGCAGTTGTATATTACTATCTAATAGTCTTTTCTCTGTCTTTTTCCAACAGGTGATAGAGCTGTGTAGGCCATCAGATTCCCGTCTGGAACATGTGGACTTTGAATGTCTGTTCTCCTCCTTGAGTCTACGTCTCCTTCTGCGAGTGTTTGCCTCTCTACTTCTGGAGCGCAGGGTCATCTTCACTGCCGACAAACTCAGGTTTGTTCCAGCAACGTATTGATACAGAACACGGTGGCTTTCCTGACCTTGCAAGAAGCATCAGCATTGGGGGGGATCATTGTAGTATTTTCATTAATCTATTGGGATCCGATTATTGAAGGAAGGGTTATGATCCTCAAAAGACCAAGAGTTAAGAGTGTGAAGGATATGACAGAGAGACAAACAGTCTGAGGAAAAGAAGATCCTAACCGAGTTTGAGAGGAAGGAATGCTGTTGTGTTATACTGTCGCCTGGGGAACAATCACTTCTTCTCTGGAAAACTGTCATGGATGCCAGATAGAAGGAGTTAGACTTCAGAGCATGACTCCAGAGCTAACACGTGTGCACAATGACGTCATCAAACCCACACAGTCCACTTAAAACCTTTAACTGTTGTGGTACACCTGGTTCAACATGTGGACTTACCGGAATCAGCCATTGTGTACTGATCTAGTTTTAAAAAACACCCACCTACTGGTTCAGAAAATATATTTGCAATACAATATGCACTTCAGAGTCACACAAACTGTTTTTATGTATATTTTTGCCCGTGGACTGTTTAAAAAGTAGCGTAAGAAGCATTTCCCACCAGGGCGCCTAAGCAGATCACAAGTCTTTGCACATTCTCTACTGTGGAGGGGAAACTTGGCCTCGTCAATCCATTTTTTAATGAATTAAGTGTGAGCAGATGCACACCCGGGAGACATTAAGTTAACAGCGTGGGTGAGTGTGTTTGCTGCCGCTGTTCACTTTTTATAAGTGTTACATCACTCTCCCCTAAGAGATGCTTTTTAACATTCCTCTTAGGGTAACAACAGGTTTGTTGCAGCAACAGTAATGAACTTTTAACATTATGTTCCAAATTAAGAAATGGGTAGCAGTAGAGGTTATTTCCTTAAAGCAGTTTATTAGCACCATCTTGTGGGAGAGACTTGTATTTTAGTTTGTTCAAAGTAAATTGGGCTGCTATCCTGACAGATTATGTCTCACATACTATTGTCAGGAATATAGTGACAGTTTCAATAAATAGAAAGTTATATTTATAAAAGTTATTAACTGCAGCTTTTAAGTTTTAAATCTCATATATATATCACTCTCTTGACCTGCTGCACATATTTTCTGAGGTTTGTTGCAGATTTGAGTAAATAATGTTTGAGTAAATAATGTTATAGTAAATGTACATTATTTAACAATACAGAGACATGGGATAACATAATACTACAATACTACAAGATTGAAGATTGATCATTTTTTATAGATTAAAATTTAGAAACAGTAATTTACAAAACAGTTGCAGCACAGGTCATATTAGTAGCTGTGCTGAAGCTTCTGTTTGTAATGCATGATCTTCTTCATCAGATTAAATTTGCCCAGTTGTCATGAAATTGTAGATATTACAATTTTTCTCATATTAAATATTGAGTTTAAAAAGTTCAAAAGAATGCTTTAGCTACTTGTACCTTGTTGTGAGACTGTTTTATTCATGATCTAATAATAATGACCATTATAACAGTATTTATAACAGGAGATTTCCTTGTTTGAAGTGAACTATGCAGTTTCTGAAGGCTTAAGAGTTACCATGCTGTATTATCCCATCCAAAAATAGCTACAAACCCTTTTTTTTTTTGAATGAGCATTAATGTATGCTTTCTCTCTTTCTGCAGCACATTGTCTCAGTGTTGTCATGCAGTGGTGGCTCTGCTCTACCCCTTCACCTGGCAGCATACATACATCCCTGTGCTCCCACCCTCCATGCTGGATATTGTCTGCACCCCTACACCCTTTATAGTCGGCCTCCTCTCTAGCTCTCTCCCTCGACTCAAAGAGCTGCCCATAGAAGAGGTAAGATGAGATTGTGATGTACTCACTGTGGTGCCCTTCACTTTACAATAACAATAGCTCCAGGAAATGACATCACTCTCCCTCTGCTCTTCCCTCAGGTCCTGGTGGTCGACCTCGGCAACAGCCGCTTCCTACGACAGGTAGAAACCATAGAAACATAAAGAATGCGGTGAAACTCTGTACATTACACATTTAGTGACTCTGCCAGATGCTCCATAATACAGTCTGTTTATTCACTGCCGTGTGTTGACTGTATTTACATGGCTGTCATTACCTCCACAGCTGGATGATGAAGACTCCATTCTCCCCCACAAGCTGCAGGCAGCTCTTGAGCATGTGCTGGACAAGAGGAGGGAGCTGGCCTCTGAGAAAGGAGATCTGGCCAATGGTGACTAAGAAGTTATTACTCATTTCTTTTACAAAATGTACTGTATTTAGACAGTATATTTATGATTCATTATAAATAACAAATATACAAAAGACTGTAAAGCTGTAAAATGATCAAGAGTAAGGAATGTTCTACTGTATGGTTCCCACTCTTTTCAAGAAATCATTTCCAGGACACTTTCACTGACCTACTGTAAGATCAATTGACATTAAATTTTTAAAAATAACATGGCCTTCTTTAGCTGTCTTAGAGATCTGATTGAGGTGGCATTCAAGTGTTCTTAACACTCCAGGGTGTTCAGAGTTTTGCCAATATAACTTCTAACTTTTTATATTCAAACTTTCCATCTTCCTGCCAGCTGCATTCAATAAAAATACATCATATAGCAACTTCATCATAGTCTTGTGGTACATCAAAGCATTCTTCCATGGGAACTCTAGAGTTTTCCTGAGCAATTTTATTAATTTCCATGACTGGATTGCTACATTCAATAATGCTCTCTAATGTAGTGTGCATGTATAAAGTTGGCATTAAAGAGTGATAAAAATCAAACTAGACATTTAGCTTCTACTGCTATGTAGTGGTTGAAAATGTCATACCCCAAAAGTAATGTAGCCGTACACAGTGCATCATCATATCAATGCTTGTGGCCACAAGAACAACAGACCTGTCAGTTTCAGTCCATACTGTTCAGTGTAACACTGCTTTTATGCAGCAGTTAGGAGGTTTTAGTTTTACACTCATGCACCATTTAACACACTCAATGTCAAAGTGACACTTTCAAAACAGAAACTGGAAGTCTGTAGCAAATATCCAACAGGAAAGCCTAGCGAGGCAGTAATGTACGGCTATGCAAAACAATGCCATTTGATGTTTTGGCTTGAGAGTATAGCTTTTGGTCTAAATAAAATGCCTTGAACATGTGTGTAATGTGATAGGGAGTATCTGGAATTTCCAGTAAGTAGGGAGTTTATTTTCCTACACTCGAATCATTGGTATTGATCAATCTTTTGCAGATACTGGATGTATTAGTCATTCTGTTGTATAGGACAGAAAATATCCTTTAATAATGATTTTCCTTACACTCCCCTGGGTTTTCTCTCACCAGACTCCAGCTCCCTTAGCACGGTTGTGTCAGAGGCCTTTGTGCGTTTCTTCGTGGAGATGGTCGGTCACTACTCCCTCTTCATGGGTGGAGCAGAGCGTGAGGATGAGTCTGTCTCTTTCCCCACCTTGCCCAGCCCCTCTTCTTCTTCTTCCTCCCCCTCCTCGTCCTTCCAGCGCGAGGCCTTTCGCAAAGCGGTAACCTCCAAGAGTTTGAGAAGGTTCTTGGAGGTGTTCATGGAGACCCAGATGTTCACTGGCTTCATCCAGGAGAGGGATCTGCGCAGGCAGGGCCTCAGAGGTACCATTGCTGTGCATCATTCCCCTCTCTCTTCCCCCCTCCCCTGTCACTCTTCAGCTGTCACTATCAAAAAAAAGGCAATAAAAGTGTAAAGTTTGAGGATGCAGTTATAGTTTTTCATGTACCCTGCTCTCCATTAAATTTGAGATTTCAATATTAATGGGGCTTTCCTGAATAAATAAGTTGTTAGTTTGATTGTCAGAATGTCTTGATTTACTTAAAAAAACAGTCTCAAAACATTTGACCTAAAATATTTGACTTTTTCTTTTATTTCCAGGTCTATTTGAGGTGAGAGCACAAGAGTATCTGGACTCCCTGCCTGGGAGTGAGCAACGAGGCGTCAACAAGTTCCTCAAGGGTCTAGGTGAGTTTTACAGTATAGCCTTGCTCGGTCAATCAATCAATCAATCGAGCTACACAAAAACTGCTAGTTCAGTTAGAGACACTTCGGTGAAAGATTTGTCCATTTATAAGAAATGCTCCCTCCTTAATAACACATACATGAACATCAATCTTACTTAAAACTACAATACAAGATACCACATAAGGATCAGGGTGATGGAGGGAGCTGTGGCAGCAAATTATGTAATTAGCAGAGTAACAAGTGACTGTAAATGTGTGTTTTGTCCACACTGTATACCTGCACAAATTTGCCTGGATGTTACTAGCTCCATAGCTGTGAATGAGTCTGTTATTGTAAAGCATATTGCGAACGGCTGATGTGACTTCAGTGCTGTTTGTTTTTAATTTTAATTCACATCTGTTGCTTTTTTTCAGGAAACAAGATGAAGTTCCTTTCCAAGAAATGATGTTTGGATTCAAGATGTCATCTGTGAAAGTAGGAAAAAACTTGAAGAACGTAGAGATGGAGATGTGTCTTTAGATCAGAACAAAGGAAGATCCTTCAAGTGAACTGGACTCGTACTTTGTGGACATGAGAGACGGTTAGCAGCTTCATTAGCCAGTCATTCCATTAGTGTTGTGGAGGGTTTACTCAGCTTGGACCAAAACTTCCGTCCAACACGATAAAGCAATGTCATGTTGGACTTTTCCCCAGGTTTTGATGTTTTACAGTCAATCCCTGCAGTGTATTACTGTATAGCACAACACCGTGTAAATGTTTTTAGGAACAGTGTTCTCCCTTTTTCACTGACTTCACCTATAAACCTGTAAAGGAGGCCCCTGTTTTGTACAATACCTTCCTATACATTCCAAGTATTTTCTATAGAAGCTTTTATAAATACAGTAGTACAACTTCTTCATCAACAGGAGGCTTTTAAGTTAATTTATATTCTTTTAGGACAAACTTAATCTCTTTATAAAATTTCCTTCAAATGAGTGCAAAGAAATCTCCTGTAGTTTGTAATAGGCTTTATTGAACAGAGTCTAGTCCAGACTGTTTGTAGACCACTTTGGGTTTTTGGGTAAATGTACCACTGTTTTAAGTAAATTAACTTTTTATTGGAAAAGGAAGGAGCACCAAAAGGAAATCAATGTGAAAACATCTCTCTCACTCGGGTTTGAGTATAGGGTTTGGATAGACTTGATGTTGAAGGCAGATGTGTATCTTTGGCCAATCAGTGTTTCACATAAGCAATCAGGTTTGCCTTAAACATGATTGAGAATGCAATGAAACTTTATAAATAAAGTGATTCGAATTTTTGAATTACGGGTGACTCATTATTTTTTTGCTGCAATATTGTAAATTCCTGTATTTTGAGTGGACATTGATTGAAAGTGAGGCCTACAGTGAGCTCCACACGATGACTCAGTGATGGCAGAAGTAATGTTTGCTAACATAAACTACTGTAACTACTACCTTGAGCTACTGGTCATACTAGACCAGTTAAAGAATATGTCAAAAGTTACACAATCTGTCTTTAATGGATCATTTTTAATTTACAATGCCATGACACATTAAGCTAATGTGGATGCCAGGAAGCTTTTGATTGTAGAAACTGGATGACTAGGATTTAAACCACTAAGTTGTGTTGGAAGTGGTTACATATTGGTTAGAGCTTGATGATTCTCTTCTGCTTAAAGGCGCATTCTAGCAACGTGTTACATGTTGCACTTCATAAAGTTAGGGGTCTGACAAGAGACTAAGAAGATTAAAAAGACTGATTGATGCAGCAGAGGCCAAAATATTACAGAGATTTGTCCGTAGGCTGAGTCAAGCTCCAAACACATGGGATCCTACAGTAGATTTCCTATAATGCAACTAAATAGCATGTCAATTGAGTCTTTTATCAGGGCATAAAAAAATTTTACTCAAGTTATGTCTATCGAGTAAGAGCTCCTGCTGAGCCACAGACAGACTGAGAACTACTCTCTGTGACTAGTAAGTTGCCTTTAACATGTGAAATTAGTGGAGTCCCCCTTCGAATGAGAAACTAGAGACCTCTCCAGCTCTAGGGGGCACTGTCTCTCCAAATTAAATCAAGTTCCCATTACAGAAAAAAATTTATAATGATGTAGAAATGAATAACAAATAAGAAATATAAAACACATTTGCATCAGTACTTACAATAATATGACCCACCTAAATAACCACTGGTGCAGCCAATTAATGTGTTAAATTGAAATCTCCTGTGTGTAGTAAACAGGTCTCAATTGATTATAGTCCAGATACACCTGTATCTGCAAAAGCTACACCATGAAGACAAAGGATTTACAAGTTACTGAACTGGAGTACAGTTAAATCAGTCATGAAGAAGATAGAAGGAGGCTAGAGCGGGCCATCCTGTAGTGTACAGCCTCGGAACCAAATAATTTATCTGAGCACAGCGGTTGTTCCTGAGGAGGGAAGCTGCTAATCTCAAAAACTGTGAGCATAGAAGGCATTGTTTAGGGGGATAAATATGGTACACCGGCACATAGCTGCTTACTTTTTTAAACAAAGGTGATTCATTAGTGAAATCTTAACTAAAAAAAACCAAAAAAAAACTAAAAGAAGAAAGGTCTTTTGTGTGGTGTCACCCTTTAAAGATATCTTGCTACGAACCAGCACTGTCATTCCCACAATATCCACTGGAGGACTCTGTTACACAGTTTATGTTATCCTGCATGTGTTTCCTGCAGAATCCAAAGTTCAGAATCGCATCTCAGACAATTAGGCCTCCAGGCCTTTAATGACTCGCACAACATGTCAGTCCAACAATATTACTTTTGTTTGCTTATGTGAGAATATAAGTGAAGGATAGATAAAGAAAAGACTGTAAGGTGGCTTTCCCCACAAAAATCATTATTTCATTCAAATTCAATTATGCTTTAAAAAAAATACATCAGATATTTTCTTTAAATGTCAAAACACCTGACAAGATGTATGTATGAAAAGCAATTAAGTTACATCCTGCCATATTCAGTATCATGTGGTGTAGCAGATAAACAAATGATATGAAGCCTGAATGTGTTAGTCTGCTGTAACCTGAACATAGAGCATTATCTTCTGTGGTAAAGACGTACAAACAAAAGTCCATTTATTGTTCATAAGTAAACAAAACCTTTAGACCAATATTGATTTTTAATAACAAGCCAGAAGTGGATCTTGCATCTTTAACCTAATTAGGTTCCCATCTGGGCCAGAGTTGGATATTTCATTCAAAGTCCAATTTGAATAAACTTTATACTTTCTATGCATGCTGTTGTGTACATAGCTCATTATAAAGAAGTGCTGTCAGTTTCCCCCAGACTGTTCCAGTATTCTTCAGTCTTGATGATATTTCCTTTGCACAACCCCACTCCTCCCCTCCCTCCCCACCACGTCTTTCCTTTGCCTTTCTTTCCTTTTTGAACCTCCTCCTCCTCCTCCTCCACCCCTTCGTCATTACGTGTTGACCGGTCAGACCTGCCTCCCTCCCCTCCCCTCACCTCCCCTCCTTCTCTCTCCCCTTGGTCTTTTTCTCTGGCTTTTTCCAGGCTTCATGTCATACCACGGCTAATTCCTGAAATTCCTGCCCACCTCTCGCTTCAAACAAACGGCTCCAGGAAGGAGACGAGGCAGCAGAAAAACAAAGCAAAAAAAAAAAAAGAGGGGGGAAAAAAAAAGAAAAATAGGAGAGAAAAGAAAAGACAGAAAGAAAAAAAAAAGAAGTCAAAATTATAGTATTGCTCCACCTGCCTGCCTCTCAGACCGCTAATAGTCTCACCAGGTAAGCTCCTTCAAGTGTTTTCTAATGTCTTAAAGTGTTAAAGCTCTCATATTCACATTTTTAACTGCGCCTTGTGTCGGGAGTGTAAACTTTCATCTAGTTTTTAAATATTGTATGTGAAGACAGTCATTTCACAGCGCCTTTTTTCTCTCTGAATCATTCTCACTCACTGTCCGAGACAGCATTCCTCAAATATTTCACATTTCTTCGCTCAAATTCCTGCATTTTCCCCCCTTTAATTCCAAGCGCTCGAGCGTGTGTGCTTGGACTTCCTGTGCTTCAGCCGGAACTTTTTCCCCTGTTTTTTGAGGGAATAACGTCACAGGCGTGTAGTCAAACATTAGCTTTTAACTGGCTGGCTAAAGTTTTACACCGTCAAACTGAGATAATTCAAACTGTGTATTTATTAACTCGCACGTTTGATTTAGTTGTTGTCCCCCCCTCTCTCCTCTATCAACAAGTGTGAGTAGCCTGGAAGTGGCCTGACGGAGCAGTGCTGTGGCTGTTGTAGTTGCCTTTTGTTGTTCTCAGTCAGTGACATGATTTAATTGTCTCGCGTAATTAAAACACCTGTGTTTTTTTTTAAAGACGCATGATATCGTTAGTGGTGGAAGGAGTATTCCCATCCTTTTATTGAAGTAAAGCTCCCACAGCAGAAGAAGAAGGCTATATCGTGCACAGTGGTGGGAGATGTATTCAGATCCTTAAGTAAAAGTAGCAAAGTTAGATTTTGAATTGAATGTCAAATACTGTCAGCAAAGTAGCTTAAACAGTATAAAATGACTCACTGTGCAAGCAAATGGTGTCTGTCAAAGTTATATTATTACATAATTATCATTATTATTATTATTGATGCATTAACATCTAAGCAGCGTTTTTAATGTTGTAGCTGATTCTTGCTGTTTTTATATAATTTACTCATTCTATGTTTTTGAGTTATGTTATTTAAAGTAACTACAGCTGTCAGATAAATAAAGTGCAGTGTGTTTTATTAGTTATAAAATGTACTCTTGTAAATGTACTCTCCACCACTTTCTACCACTGGATAATATAGTGTTCAGTATAGACTGTTTTTATTTCTGCTGTATATGGATGGTATCATGTGTTTCTGCCATGCAGTTAATTAATGCTGCTGTTGCTGTTGTAATCTAAAACCATCTCTTCTATATGTGTGTCTATGACTACTATAGTCCACTTATATTACATTTGTCCAGAATGACTTACAATAAGCACGTTCAACTACAAACAAACTTGAAATCAAAACCATGATCGGTGCTACAGTGCAAGCATGCTTGCTGGGCAAGAGGGGAATGTTGGTTATTTACTGTATTACATGTATTTGACAGCATTATTTCTAAGTTACTTTTCAGAAACATGTGATCAGCTTATAAAATATGATTCATTGTGATAGATTAAACTATGCAAGTGTACAGTGTAGTTAAAATTAGCTCCACCTTGACAGGCTACGTTATCAAAATGCTGCTTACACTGTTATGTATCAGTAACAATAATGAATTATTATTATATAAAGTACTATGACACTGAGTAAAGTCATTCTTCTACATAATGACTACTTTTACTTTTTATACTTTAAGTTGATTTTGCTGATAATAGGCCTACGTCTGTGCTTTCTAGATTCAGAATACAGGACTTTTCTTGCCGCAGAGTAGCTCTACCTTGTGTTATTGGTACTTTTACTATAGTAACAGATCTAAATACTTCTCCCAGCACTGGAAATGAGACATCAGTGATGATATGGGGGAGTCTGAGTCTATTAATAGGCTTAATACAGGTGTCTCCAAAAGCAGGATGAGAAAATTAGAATCCCCGTAACTGTAAGAAACTGTTTTAAATGTTTCTATATCCTGGTGTTACATACCATGTTTTGAAAGGATTGCTGTAAAATGAGTAACATTTCAGAACCTACTGTATTTCATAAGTTCCAGGGTGATGTGGATTTGCCAGATCAGATATGCTGGAGAACAAAGAAACACCAAGTAATCAATAGTGGAGCTGCTAGAGATTATTTTCATTATCAAATAATGTGCCAATTATTTTCTCAAATAATGGTTAAAATGTTTGGTCTATAAAATGTTGGAAAATGGTGAAAAATGCCTATCTCAAGTTCCCTAAACCATGGTGATGTCAAACAGTCCAAAATCCAAATTCAATTTACAAAGATAGAAGACAAATAAGACCAGCAAATCTGCAATGGTGAGAAGCTGAAACCAGTGAATTTTTGGCATTTTTGCTTCATATTCTTCTGTCAAACGACTAATCATTTCACTTTTACTCACAGTGTGCTTTTAGCTCTTGTGTCTGACTCGACATAATACTCAATTTTACCAAATGTGCTCCTGCAAGCAAAGTATTTAAAATTCCACCTTGTGTATTAATGTGTACTATACTGTTAGTGTGTCTGTGTGTGATAGCCTTTGTAATGTGGGACATATTTCAATAGATCCTCTCTGTACAACTGCAGAGCTGAAAAGTCAGCGTGCGGGTGAATATTTTC